GGCAGACAGCTTTATGTGCTGACTTGACAAAAACAGCACACCCACACACCCACACACACACACCCACACAGATGCAAAGAGTGAAAGACTGGAAGGACGTGCCGCTAGCACTTGCTCCTTGCTGAGTTTGGCTGCCTGTTCGTGGCAGCACAATGACATGAATTCAATATAATAAATAAAATATAACGCTGTCAATAAAAATAAGTAAATACTTACGAATGTCAACGTGGGTCGTTCAAACTATTTTGAAAGACCTATTCAAAAAGTTGGGAATTATTGTTTTTATGGTTTTATAGGTCACATTTCTAATATGTATTACACTGTCATACAAATTATTATTCCAATCCTTTCTTAAATTAAAATTAAAATCTCATAAAAGTTACAATAGTTTGGGTTTCTATTTATGTCTATGTATTTTTTATAAATTTAATTATTGTAAGCAAATTTAAATAATTTTCAATTTAATTATCTAGCATTTTAAGTCCACATATACGATAATTGTTGATTGATTAATTGCTGTGTTTGCAATATGCGGCCCATATTTCGCCTATCTGTAGTTGCAACCATTTAATACTCAAAATGTGCTGTACTTTGTAAACAACCCCTGTAACATTTGCAACAGCAATAGCATAAAACGTGAATGCTTATCGGTTGGGGGTATTTCTAGCGAAAAGCTTAAATACATCACTCAAAATAGCTTCATAATGTTTGTGTGTCATTCAGAATTGGTCATGCCAGACAGGACCTGTGAGTTGTCTGCTTTTGAGTATATTTAAGAATCTGCCAGCAGAAAGCGTGTCCCGCACACTGTCATCAACAACAGCTCCAAACAAACAAGTATTGCGTTCAGGAGCGAGTGCAGCCGCGTGGAAGTTGCCTCAGATGCGAGCGTCTGTTATCCTTGTTTGTAATGTGCCGGTCTTAAGGAATTTGAAAATCACTCGGAAAGGTAGTCTGACTTGTAAAATTATCTGTCTGTCAATTGGAGCATATACGATACCCCACTTTGACTTCGACTTGGCGTATAAGGATTATACGCCTGGTGAGTTGCTCAAATTGAGTATTTTCCTGCGAATAATGTTCAGATAATGGCTACTATCCATTGAAGAGGTTATATACTCACAACTGGAGTACAATTTAAAGCTATTTTTTCAACCTCGACTGTACTCTACAGTGGTATAAATAATTATTTGACGATGAGAATATGTATGCATATATATATTTGTTGTCAAATAATGTTGATATTCATGCTGTTTCGAGCATAACTAATGGACTGTGATCCTACACAGATGAACCAATCGAAAAAAAAACCAGTCAACAGAAGTGTTTGGCAAAATCAATATGCCGACCACTGTACAGTATCCATTTCCAGTGCACAGTTGTTCCCTTTCCCAAGCACACACGCGCACATAGAAACTGCACTTATTTTGAGCGCTTATGATTTATTAATGCATCCAAGTGCGGATACTATGGCTGGGGCAATGCAATTTTCTAGTGTTCAACTCTTGTTGATTTGCTGGGGCATTGGAAAATTGGCTTTGCACAAACTACTCGACAAACAACAACGCACTCAGTGCGTTAAAGTCAAAAGTAAAATTCAAATAAATAAAAAAAAAAATGAACAGAAATGAAGTAAAAAATGAAAATAAATTATACCAATGCAAGGGACTTGTTTATTTCCAGTTTGTGCTCAGTGTGCCATTGATTTTGATCGAGTTGTCAGTGCTTGGCTTTCAGCTTTTACTTTAAACTAATTCAATTTTCACTTGTGTCGGTCACGAAGCTAAACCAATTTGCAAGCGAGAGCAGGCAAACAAAAATCAAAAATTAAGCCAAAGCAACAGTTTCGTTTCAATATAATTTTACAACCGAAAAGTTACTCAGTTTGTTGCATGTAAGTATTAAACAAGTCATTTTGTCTAGAAAATGAAAACAATTAAAACAAGCAGGCAACAATGCAGCAAGGCATGCGGAGACGCAAGTCACAAAACTCTGCGCATGACACAGGTAAATTCATTAAAGTTGCCAGCCAAACATACGAGCGCACACATACGTTCACACACACACACACACACACACACACACATACACACACCCATCCACATACACACGCATGCACACATACATAGTTGGCAACACTGTCGAACACTGTGGCATGAATATCCTTTAGCTGCGGCTGCGGCAGATTCTGTGTGTGGCACATCAATTTAATTAGCAAGCGCATAACTCTATAAAATATTCAAGCAATTTCCAACGAAATATGCGCACAGCAGCTGAACTGGACAGCCAATTTTCCCCAGAGACAGCCCAGCAGCAGCAGCAGCAGCAGCAGCAGCAGCGGCAGCACCCGCAGCAGCAGCACAAAGGGGGTTACTGCTGTGGTAACTGCTGCTACTGCTGCCTTTTAAATTGCAGCGCTGCTTTATCGCTGTCTTTATTAACACCTTATCACAATCAGCTCAAGCTCCAAACCAGTTCTACAAATTTCAGCAGCTTCTTTGCTCGATCATTCAGTGTGGGGAAACTGTGAGGCGCAAAAGTAACGTAAATATGAATGACAAATTGCACAGATTTAAAAGCCAGATTGACAACAATATACACACGCACACACACAAACAAAACATAAACGCCAGTATGCTACAAAAGAGAAGCGTAGCATAGGGCACATTCAATTATGCTGACAAGTCAAAATGGCTAAAGGAAGGGCGCGGTAAGGCGTAAGGCAAAGCAGCAGCTAGTCAGCCACGTTTAATACCGAGCTTACACACACATACACAAACCACCACAGACACACACACACACACGCACGGATAAAACGACAGAACGCAGCAAAAGCTGAAGAGCAAAGCGGAGTCGAGTAAGGGAACATACAGGAGACAACGTTGATGATGACGAGCTGGGTGCAGAGCCGCAAGGCAAATTATGCACAGGCAGAAGCAGTAGCTGAAGCAGTGGCAGGAGCTGTAGCAGTAGCTGGAGTCATGATGAAGATTCGACAGTAGCTTGTTAAAATACCAGCAGGCAGCTGCCAGTGGCCACCTACTCCCAGCACCACAAGCACAAGCACACACACACACACATACACACAGAAACGCACACGGCGGAATGTGAGTTGATGTCAATGCAATAAAACGAAGCGAAACGAAATGAAATAAAATGAAGTAAAAATGTTGGGCTAGTAGCATAGCTGACCTGGCCAGGACACAAGCAAGAGCCAAGGCCTCAAGGATAATAATGGAGGCGAAAAGAGTTTCGTTCACAAACATAACGCTCACATATGCAACTTTGTTTACACGTTTGTGTGTTTGTGTGTGCGTGCGCCTGTGACAGGCCAGCAAAACTTAAATGCCATTAGTAGCTGCCGCTTTGGAGCTCGTCTACGTCCTCGTCAGCGTCCTCGTGCTCTGGCACGTCCTCACGCCCCGCCACATGCGGGGGGTAAGGCAAAAGCGTGCCAGGTAACTGGCACACACACTCATACACACAAGCACACACACACACACACACACACACACACGCAAGCCCACACACGGAGTGGCTCACACACTAAGCCACTATACGTGACTTAGTCGTGCGCCAAAGAAGTATCTCTCGCTCACTCGCTCTGGCTGCTCCGATTGCTCGCTCTCTCGCAGTCGACGACGCCGTCGGCGTCGTTGTCGTTGTCGTCGTGGGGGCAGGCAATTGAAATAACTTCTTCCGCTTGCCTGCCTCGCTTCCGCTGCTTGAATATGTCCACCCTAAAATCATACCCTGTCGTACAACCCTCTGCCCGCCCACATAACCTTTTGAGAAGCTCAACAGACTTGAATTGCCGTTGCTTTTTTTTTGTCATTTATTTTGTTTGGCTGTAAGTGATTTTATAAGAGCTTAGCAACATGCTGCAGAGCAACATGTTGCGTCAAACGAAATGTTGAGAGCAGCTGGTGCTCAATTTGCACTCTCTGCTTGTTGTCTGCGTGTGTGTTTGTCTTTACGATTGTTTTGTGTGTGTGTAAGAATGGGGGTAGGCAAAGGTTAGTCCCTTTTATGTGTCATCCCCATTGTTATAGTTGTTGGTTGTTGTTGTTGCCATAAAATTACATTTAAGCACGCATTACGTTATACGTTATTGAGCTCGCGCTGCTTGAAGCTGACATTTGGACAGCCACTGTGTGTGTGTGTGTGCGCGTAAGCGGTTGTGTGGGCATGACTTTGCACTTTGTATTAATTTAAATTGCTTTTGGGATTGTCAACTGTGAAATATGACACATAACGATGGCATTTAAATGGCATGCAAAGTTCTTGGCAACAAAACTACAGATTTTGCGTAAGGCTTACCCTAAGTTGTGTGTGAATTGATATGATTATTATTGTGTAAATAAATACTGGAAGTTTATGTACACCGCACACTAAATCCAAATTTAAGACTTTTTCCCGTACTTGAAATTGGGTTTGTATGTTTTACAATCGTTTCAGTGCGTGGCTTTTGCCCTTCGTTAAATTAAGTTAAATTGTGTCACACTCAAATGTTGTGCCATAAATTCATGCCAACACTCGCAGCAGTCACACACAAGTGTACACAAGGCTACGCAAAGCGGAACCCCTGGCCTTGCCGAACTTATGTGCCTGCCTGCCTGCCTACACTCCTGCCCGCTTGCCTGGTTGAATCCTTTACGAGGTTACGCTTGTTGTTGGGGATTTTGCTATGCAAATCAGGACGCAGTGCGCCAGGAAATGGCAAATGGGTGGCCAGGCGGACAGACACACAAGCACAGACGGTTGGGGAGGGGAGACGGGCGTGTTGTGAGCTAAATAAGTTGAACAACATTCCGCACAGGCGGCAGTAAGTGGTGGACGATTCCGTTCTGTATTTTATTGCATTTATGCGTTGTGGGGCAAATAAGTTGAAGGTTAGTTCCAGTGGCAAAAACCATTAACAAGTTGACGACAAATGCGCAGCTGTTTGGCTAATATCGTTTGCCCATTTAACACGCACATTTTTCTTCTCTTTATTGCAGCCATCACGCCCACTTAAGAGCCAATTAGCTGCGCCCTAAATGATGCCCGAAACTGAACGCGATTCGTTGGTAGCAGCAGAAATGATCAGCGGCGCCTTGGCGCATGGTTATGGCATAGTCGTCGACAAACAGCAACAACATCAGCAACTGCAGCAGCAGCAGCAACAGCAACTGCAATTACAACAAAAGCAGCTGCATTCAGATTCAATTCACACCGGCGGCGGCGCATCAGCCACAGCTTACAATATGGCCATCAATTCGTATGTCTACAGCAGCTCATTGACTATACCGCCCTCGGCGGCATCAATGGTCAGTCCCAGCAGCAAGGAGAAGCTGGTTAATATGCTGCGCGTGCGCGATAACAACAACAGCAATGGCAGCAATAGTGTCAGTCCCATCTCCGCTGCCAGTTCACCCACAACGTTTCTACAGAAGCAGCTGGAGGCACCACCCAGTCGTCAAACGGCTCCCCGAGAACAGCAACAACAACAGCATCAGCAGCAGCGACGCTCCATAACACCCTTTCCCACCAACTTGGCCACTTCGACATCCAACCATACAGCTAGCTGGCATGCTCATGTATATGCGCGTCCGCCCAATCGACCCACACCCCACTATATTGCAGACATACTGGGCATGGCCATGGCCGATAAAATTGTGTACGAGGGCGCTGCAGCAGCCGCTGCGGCTGCAGCCGCATCTACAGTCACCGCCAACAGTTCGGCCACTTCACCAAAGAGCATTCTGCGCAACATTGAGCAGCAGTACGCGCAGCAGCCCCAGGAGCAGGAACAGCGCACACATCGCAGCGCTTCAATGAGCGATGTCAGCGAGGAGGAAAGCGCAGTCAACGTCAACTCCACAGCAGCAGCAGCGGCGGCAGCAACAGCAACTGTCACAGAGACAGCCCCGCTCGATCAGCCATTGAATCTGTGTGTGGCCAAAAAATCGCGCGACAGCAACACCTCGCCACCCATGCCGGCGGCCAGGCAAAACCAACTCTTGGGAAAGACAAGCGCCAAGAAGGGTAAGTGAGACCATTAACATATATTAAAATCAATACAACTCTTAAAAATATAATATAATTATAATCAAAATAAGAAATTAATTATCAAGCATAGTCGGAGTGCGATTCCAACACATTTCTGATTATATAGTGACAGTTACAATGTACGTGCTAGTGTATTTAGTATTCGGTGTATTTCAGTTTTTTATTTTTAAATTTTCATATTGGCGCCGAGCAAATTTATGCAGCAACGCTTGACGAGCCTGCCAATTGAGCGCAGCGCGAAGCTCTCAACACGCTTCAGCGAAGCGTGCGGCGGGTAACGCTGCGTATGCGTGTTATGCCAAATTAAATGACGCCCGACCGCGGCTCAAATTGCCAGCACTCGAATAAAGGTCCTATATTTTGGCAACGGATGATTGCGGGTCATCAACGTTCGAGCCGAATTTATCAAATAAATTTCAATGCATATTTTTACCTATTTAAATGCCTAATTAAGGCTATTCCATATCTGTTGTCAATTTCCTTAGAAAACTCCACTTGGGAACTTTACATATATCTGTTGTTGAAATTGTTTGAAATTTGAAATGCGTAATTCTATCATTTTAATTTATCTACGTGAATCTTCAGATTAACAATCATTTGTTCAAAACTATACCAATAGAAATAAACATTGGGTTCAAGATTCTCGCAAATTGGTTTCTAGACATTAGATCTGTTAAATGTTATTGTCTTATACAACTTTCAAATTTTAAAAATGGTTTTCTTAATTTTAATACAGGTGAATAGTTAAGCACAAAATATAATTATAGAATTTTAGATTCAGATTGATTGAATATTTCACAATTATCTGATTTACATTCTTTGCAAAATATGTTTTAAATATGACGTCAATGGGATTCTGTCTGAAATAACAAACTATAAATATGAATTCTCCGAACATTAATTAACTAGACATTGTTTTTTTCGAATGTAATATTGTTGCCAATCTGAATTTACGCTGCATTAAAATTGTTTAATTCAGTTGTGGACTGAGTGGGGGGGGGGGGGGGGCGGAGGGTGCCGAGGGCGGCATGAAAACAGCAAATTCAATTAGCAATTGGCATACGGCAATAATAAGCAATAACAATCAGCTCGAAATGAGCAAACTTGAGCACAAAATTGTTGGCTGTTGTGTTATTGTATTGTTGCCATTAATTGCTCAATGCTGCGTTCAACTTTTATTGTTATTAAAATCACGTACTCGACTTGGCAAAAATAAACAGCAAGTGCAACAACAAAACCTATAGTATTTAGCGCTCATATTCGCATTTAAAATGAATGAATGCCAGCCGACGTCGTTCAAGTCTCGTTTTGTGATTTGCAACTGTCGTCTGTTAATTTTCGCTTAATTACTTGTTAGCAGGCACCATAAATGGAAGCGGGGTAGCCAGCCGAAGAGCTGTGGCGGGGTGCTATTAAAATGTTGTCGCCAAACGGGCCTAATGAAACGACATGGCAATTGCCAATTGGCGAACAACAAAAAGAACCAACACAACAACAAAGAAAAATAGCAAAACAAAACATCAACAAAAAACAGCAACAAAAATGGCACATCTAATCAAACATTTGTGTTATGCTTCTTTTGCTTTAAGGTTTTTTCTCTTGTTTTCGCTTTGCCATTTAGTTTTATTGATTTCGTGCCACTGGGGCGCCCTTTGCGCTCCACTAGACTCGCTCTAAGTGCCACACTGTTGTGTCTCGTTATCTAGGGGTGGCTTTAAGTGGCACGGACTGCTGCCAATGCTGGAGGCGACAACAGCGGCGGCTGTCAGTCGGCCGCCTAATTAATCACAGTGTCATGCATATGCGCCCAGCCATATGAGGCCGTGCGGCCCACGCGGCGTATTAGCAATAGCGACAACAACGACTTCTACGACGAACGTTCGCATTTAACTGTCAATTAGATTTCAATTATGCATTGGCAATTGGCGGCAGCCACAACCAGACTCATGCCAGACACGTTTTGGCCCCAGCCAACCAATAGGTGTAGCAGAAATACATGGCGTTGTTAACACTTGTTTGTTTGTTTGTTTTTTTTTTTTTTTTTGCTTACTCGACACGACTGACAACCGCAAGCAACAACAACAGCTCACAAATTCTTCACGATGGCGAAATCCCCTATAGATCGACCTGTCAACAGGTCTAGATTTATAAGAACGCTCACGGTCCCATTTGTATCTACTGCAAAAACTAAATGCAAAAAAAAATGAATAAATAAAATGTTTCGATTAAGATAATGAATTATTATCTTAAACTTTTTAAATTGCATTTAGTCAAATATAATTTTTATCAATTAAGAAACTTCAAATACAAAAAATAACCTAGATATGACAAATACACCCTTAGCACTCAATTTATAGGATATAAATAGAAACAAGTTAGGCATGTAACGCCTGGTTTTTGCATATGAATAAAATAGAGAAAAACTGAACTCAACTGCAGCTCGGAGCTAACAATGCAGTCAGTTAACCTGACCGATTGGCCAGTCTGCATTTGACGGGCTAATTGCAAATGTAAAAAAATGTTATAAAAAATAACAGAGTACCAAAGCTGAATTGAGGTTAAACAGCTGTGTCTCGCAATAAAAGCTTAGCAAATAAAGATACAAACACAAGTAACAACAATGGCTAATGGTTTTTGTATACCGCACCTCTTTCACAGAGCACTCGGGCAAGCCGGCATCAAAAAAGAAGAAACTGTCGGTCGATCTGCCGCCAGCCATTAGTCCCACGGGCAGCAGCGACAGTTTAATGCGGGATAAGCTGCTGGCTAATAACAGTTCGCCGAACAGCACAGCCCATGCCGCCCAGCCGCAGAGCAACAATAGCAACCTGGAGACTACCGAGGATGACTCTGACTCAGGTTCGACCGACGCGCGTCGCAAGAAGAAGGCACGAACTACCTTTACGGGCCGCCAAATTTTTGAACTGGAAAAGCAGTTCGAGGTTAAAAAGTATCTCAGCTCCAGCGAACGCACCGAAATGGCCAAGCTACTGATGGTGACCGAAACGCAGGTAAATACTATATATATTTAATCAATATTTAAAAAGGGCAACAAAAGGAATGAAATGCATTAAGTTGAACATTTAATTACCGACATATTTAGCGCAATTGCGCACGTTTAATTGAATCAAGCTTCATGAAATTCAATAATCCCATCTAAACCAAACATTTTAATTATAATTAAGTTATGACAGCAAATAAGTGTTATTTACTTTTCAACAAAGAAAAACTAAATATAAAATTAATGAACGTTAAAACAAATTTATAAAAGCTGTAACACGTATTATAATTGATTAGGAACATTTTTAAACGTTCATTAATAAATTAAAAGCATATAGTGTAGGTTTGTAGATTTGTATGCAACCCCTGTTAGGGTCTGCTGAATCATAATTCCTTGTCAATTATAAACATTATTAAGATATATTGTTATGCATATCAGATGCATAAATAACATCTGAATGCACGAAATTATTAGCTGAGCCGCAACCAAATGTATTTAACTACAATTCCTTGCGGCTGCTTGAGCAAATTCCGCTCTTGAGCTTATTAAAATTTAATTAAGTCTAACAATAAAGCAGCTAAGGTGTGATTTTGTTTAATGCCTAAGTAAATATAAGTGGAATTATATTGCCAAATTACAGCTGTAGTTGTTGTTGCTGCAACTGCAGCATCGCCTGGCAGCTGCCACATGCGACAAGGCTGAGCGGATATGGAAGTCAACATATTCGTTTTGTATAGTGAAGACAATAGCACACACACATGCACACACATACATGCAGCTTTGTAAAGTAAATAGAGATTTACTGACTAATTAGAATAAATTAACTGGTACAACATGAATGTGGCAGACACTGCTATTAGAACAGTTGCAGTTAAAGTACATACATCTCCTTTACTGAAATTCAAAGTTATAGCAATATATTCTTTGCCACAAGGCAGATGCAAGCAAATGTATTTTTGAGAGGTTCTACGGCCATTTACTAAGAATTATGTATGTACATATATGCGCAATGTATGCGGCTTAAAGTCAACTGAAAATTGCATTAATTGGATAGATTACGCATACGCCGGGTGCACTCAAATGCCATTGGACTAATTGGCGCTTAAAGAGTGCCAGTATGCAAAATACTTAACAAGCGAAGCAAAAACAATAGCTATGGCAACAACATGCTGATGGTAGCACATCAAGGATATGAGCCTGGCCATATCCTCGTCGTCGTCTTCGTCGTCGCCATCGTAGTCAACGGCAACCGCATTGAAATGTCTGCTTAATTAAATTACATTTTCCATCAAGTCAATTAATTACAAGTTTATATACAAACACTAAGCGAACGGCAAGCCATGTGATGTGTTTCTCTCTAGGTGTGTGTATCTGCCAAAGACCTATGTTCATTGTCTGTGTGTGTTTTCACTGTTTATCTGTGTGAGCCAACATGTTATGCATGTCGACATGTTCAAGTGCCTTATATGTATTATTAATATTATAAGCTCGGCAGCCATTTATCATCCTGACCACAGAGCAAAACACAGCTTTAGAGGTGTGTATGTGCGCATATGCATGTGTGCGTGTGTGTGCATGCGTGCTTGTGTTGCGTGTATATCCTGCCAACAGGCAGCCAATGTTCAAGTGCCCCGCACTGATTTCATAGCACTGTTACGGCTGCTACGCCTTCCTGCACACGTCTGTGTGTGTTTGTATATAAAACATTACTATCCACATAAACATCTATGTGTTAATCACAGCAATAATATCTGCAAATTAACTGCATCAACTGCTGTTGTGCCAGCCAGCGTCGGTCTGTATCCACATGAGCGTCTGGGGTATACGGGCGACACTCTGTAGTGTACGAGACGTTCAAGAAAGAGCCAAGGATATACAATTCGAAATAATGCTTTTAGTGCATAAGTATTTCATTTCAATTTACCTGGCAACTTTGGGTTGCACAATTGACATTTGAGATGTACAATATTGTGTGCATAGTCACGTCAACGATTTCATAACGTGGTGCTTGGGTAATGGAAAATGTATACAAACGCATATAAAGTTTATGACATGTTACATCTATCAAATTGAAAAATAACTCGTTAATGCACAAATCTAATTAAATGCTTTTGTCACAAACGAAGATGATAGGTGATATCAACGCATAAGGCATAAGCTCTTGTCTTATATAAGTTGATTAAAATATTAATTTCAATTGTTAGTTTATTTTACTTCATGAGATTAGATAAGAAACTGTAAGGGAAAAATTGGAATCCGATACTTCTAATAAATTTTTAATAGTAACAAAAATCATTTTAATAACATGTCTTATATAAGTTGACTAAAATATTAATTTCAATTGTTATTTTATTGTGCTTCTTTATATTAGATAAGCACCCGTAGGGGCAAAATTGCAATTCGATACTTATTTTGCAAACATTTTATCAGAAAAAATTAACTTGCACATCTAATCAATTTTAGTAGCAACACCAACAATAATGTTAACATATTTCTTATCAAAATGAGTTAAAACGGATTAAAGAAATCGCAAAAATAGAGCACATGAATTTGGTTAAGCAAATATAAAAGAGTTTAGAATGGACAAAACACAAAGTGATCCTAATACCTATTGGTCCCTTTTGCTATTTGTTCACACGAAACACTATTTTACCAATTTATAAAATTGATAAATCAATGCAATTGCACACCTACCATTAGGTAAAATCTGGTATGCCCAATCCTCATTCCTCACGCGAATCGCGGCATGCGCAAAATAACTCATTAATTACTGTCTTATGCGAGCGCCACTATGTTGGTTTATAATGCGGCATATAAGAAACTTCATATTGTTTTCATTTCATTTGCACTGCCAAAACTTCTGTTAATTGCACTCACAAATCGTTCGCAAAGTCTAGACGTGCCACTAGCTTGTAGCACACATATTCTTACATGTAGTACGGGGCGCAAGCAATTTAATTCTTGCTACAAATAACGCAAAGTGTATTCGCAACAATGTTACGTTACGCATACGCCTCATTAAACCAACGAACTGACCGAAAATAAACAACAGGCGCTGACAAAGAGCTGCAAAAAAGAAGAAACTGCCAAGCAGTAAACTAGAAAATCAAAATTAAATAAGTCGGGGTTGCCCGACTGGGAGATGCTTGAGACTTGAGCTGCTTCCTCCCTTCCCTTCCCAACACTTTTGTGCCTTCGCCATTTACTTCGCTGTTCATTGTCAAATATCTTTGTAAGAGAGAGTATATCTACAAAACTAAGTACATTCAAATTCAATCTAATTATTCCCATGGCAGCTATATGATATGATTATCCGCGACATATGTTTTGCCTGCATCAGAAAGAGCTTTGCTTTGTTCTGATATAATAGCGGAGAGACTTGTTGGCATAGAAAAAAACCGACGAACATAATTGACTTGAACAAGAATATATATGTTTTATGGGCTCGAAGACGTCGCCTATGTGTTACACATTTCGGGACAAAGTTATAGTACCCTCTACAGGGCTATAAAAAGGCCAACAACTAAAAGCGTCCAAAACAAAGTGGCGGCTATCATAAAAATCTCTTTAAATAGACACGACACAGACACCGACACACATAGACTGTAAAAGCCACAAGCCATGACTATGTTCTACGGTGGCCGTAACGCACGCATGGTTGCAGCGCCCAGGGTCCAGGGCTGCGCCCACGTGTCTGCATCGTCTGTCATCAACAAACTGTAAAATAGCCTTAAGCCAGATAAAAATCAATTAATTACGCGTGCATGTGACTGCCCCGACAATCCTCAGCCTCGCCCTTTAGCGCTGCAATGAAGCGACGCATCATGGCATAGTTGCACACACACACACACACACGCACACATAGTCTAACACATACACTCACAAGCAAATACACACACTGACAACATTGTAATTGTGTTACGATTACCCAACGAACGTCACGCGCCAAACGCAGCAAATTGCATTTGCATATTAGTGCCAGTGGCTACCGCCAGCCATGGGCAAGTGTGAGCGGGGGGTCAAACATGGGGCGGACTGCCCGTGGGAAGGGGGCAGAGGCGAGTTCTATGCGTGCGCCTATTTAAGCGGTTTACGGCCAAACTGTGCTCTCCTGACAATTTGCATTGGACATTTCATTTTAAATGTTTGCCGCCGCTCATAATCCGGCGTAATTGCTAGCCAGGTGGGCAGGACTGTTTCAACGTTGCTAATGCAGCTGCATTTTGACCTCGCACACACACACACACACACACACACACACACACGCACACACGCACACACACACTGAGGCTGAGTGTATATTTAACCAATGGAAAGACTGACTCGGCTAGTAGCTGGCATTTGGCCAAGTGGCAAATACGATAATTAAATTAAATTGCTGCCACAAGCAGCACAAACAAATCAAATGGCAATTCATCATTTGATGACCCGAACAGCAGATTGTCCGTTTGTTGCTTGTTGTTATCATTGTTATAAACTGTATTTAAATTAATACCAAACACTACTTGTTTATGTCATAAAACTGAACAGCTCTTATGGCCTCAATTTATTTTAAATATGCCAATAAAAGAGATACACGATAAAGTATGCGTGTCCATGATTAAATATAGATTGAGGCAACGCTGCGTATGTGCAATATTTATGCCATTTATATGTGCATTTATCAATCATACACATACATTGTGAAATGCATTCAACATGATGTCGGTCTGCTATTTAATAAATTCAACTGCCCCATGCATACACGTAAGTGAAATATAATATATTGTTTTTGAATGCTTGGTAAAAGAGCAGAGATAATTTGATCAATTTATTAAATACCGATACGGCAGAAATTGTAATCAAACAACAACACTTACAATTTGCATATATTATTATTGTCGTTTATAATACATAATAATAATTCTTGTTTTTCGGGCAATTGTAAATCTCTTAAACACAATTTACTCAAACAGTCTATTAACTGGAATTTGAAGCTTAATGCACTGATATTTCACTTAACGTTTTTTT